AGATTTTCAAGAAAGTCTTAAGATATTTACCCTAAGTAGACTGCTCTTACAGGAAAATAGAGTCTTACAATGTAGGAACATTTTCAGCAACAAGAAGAATGTTCTGTGTAATTTTTATTAGATAGTCAGTTCCACTAAGTAAACCCTTTATACCCTGGACAAGCTAATCAAAATTCTGATTTGTTCATTCTTTCTGGTTCATTTATGGTGTCCATTGGACATCTACTTCATGCCAGGCCCTGGGAAGATGCCAGTGAACAAGTCAAAGTCCCTTCCAGACTTAGAAAAGGAAGTGCCACTTACAGAAACTCTTACAAAGCAGAATAACAGCAACACTAGTAACTAACGCTTATGATCCCACTCTATGAGCTGGCCACTATTTGAGCTATTGACACGCCTTATGTGTTATAATGATAACAAGGACCCTATTTAGTAGGAGACATCGTTAAGTTTACAAATACTACTGTACAGATACAGAATTACAGCAGAGTTAAGAAATATGCCCAGCTAGTGATGGTGTCAGGCTTTGCTTCCAGGATCCAGAACCTGCAATGGTGACTGTAGCCATTTGCTATCTTTGTTGTTGTTGTCACATATTTATATACACATATTTTTTAAACCAGGCTGAAGTATAGTGGTAAGATCATAGCTCACTGCAGCCTTGAATTCCTGGGCTCACACGATTCTCCTGCCTTGGCCTCCCAAAGTGTTGGGGTGAAGGTGTGAGCCACTGTGCCAGGCACACGCTGCTTTGAGGGAAAAGAATAGGGATTCATAGTTGGATACAGTAAGGAGCAGCTTGGGAGCCAAAATGACTGGAAGAGAAGACAACTGGTTTGAATTTTTCTGGCTGATTAAGGATTCATCAGGTGGATAGAGGTTGAGTTTGAGGCAGAGGAAAGCTATGGGGAGTGACTTACAGGCAAAGCTTGACAGTTTCTGGACCTAAGGAAGGAAGATTATTCCAAGGTGCTAAACAAAGGAGAAAGGAATCCCCATTCTGTAGAAATAATGTGGTCTTTATTCTACCTGGATGCAAGTGGGGCAAAATGAAGAAAGGAATTTCACAGGTGAGTTGTGGAAGATGGGGATTTAAAGGGTCAAGGAGGGCAGCTATTGGCAGCATTCCTATTTCTTGGGAGAGACATGTGTCTGACCCTTCCTGGGAAGGTCATGAACCTGACCCTGCCTGGGGATCTAGTTGGCCAGGTACACCTGATTCTACTAAGGAGGCAGGGTGATGGGCATGGTGTCTCTTTGACTGCTTCCTGCAGGTGGAGGTGTTGCACGGGCTACCTGTAAAAAGAATGGGAGGGGGAGGAGAATGGGACGAGAGTGGCATTTATAAGCACTCTGGCTTTTTCAGTCTGAGGTGGGTGGTATCCAGTAGGGCAACGATAGGAGTTGTTTTCTGGTGAATGTTTGGTTAATAAGGGTTACTAGTCTAAAACTGAATGAGAAAAAATAATAACATAATCAGTGGCTCTATCACATACAATAATCGGGAGTTGTTGAGGCCACTAGTAATCCTGAGAGGACATTTCCACCTACTAGGGGAATGTTGCAATACCCATTACCGAGATCTCTGCCTGTTTTTAGAGATCTTTTATAAGGTGGCAGCATGGAAGAAGTTGTTCCTATGCTTATCAGAAAAGGAATTGGCTTACTTTCCACTAGGAAAAATACCCAGAAGGACATAAGTCTGACCCTTCCTGGGTGGGTCATGGACCCTGCCTGGGCGGGGTGAGTCTATTTGGCCAGTTACACCTGAATCTATCAGAGCTGAATAGGATTTCATTGGTAAGCAATGGAGCTGGAGGAAAAAGCAGGACCCTGGGTTTGATGAGTGCCTCAGTCTAGGCTCAGCACTAATGCCTTTGTTGGTGGCTCTGGTGACAGTACTTCACTGCTTGCCCGTCATTTTCCCCTGCATCTTGTTCCCTGCAGGTGTCTGATTACCCTCCTAGCCACAAAGAATTTCTCTGTGGCAGCTCTGACTTCCTCGCCCAGCTGATTGCTTGCTGTGGAAGCACAATTCCTTTTGCCACGAGTTACAAAAATCCAACTGGGAAGAACAAGAGTGGATCCAGGGTATCCAATAGTGTTGCTGTGAGTCTCGTTTGCCATCTTGCGTCTGGCTTCACTCCAATGCTTCCTTTTCAAGTTCTGACGAGGGCCATTCTCTGGCGTTTCCTTATTTGCCCTGTTCATTCATCGTCCACGCAGTCACTCAACAAACATTTCCTGAGCATGAGGGGATGCTTTTTTTTACGGTACTTTTCCTGAGCATTTCTTACGGTGGGGATGCTGTACTCTTTTTAGATACAGAAATAAATAAAATATAGCCCTTGCTCTCAAAAGTGTTCATGGTCTAAAGGGGGAAGATAGGAATATACTGATTATTCATTAACGGCATGATATGAGGAGCTATGGGAGGACGCTCAATGATTTCAGCAAGGAAAAGATCGCTCAGAGGGTGGGGCTCCAGTACAGTTAATAAGCTATTGCCGTTTTTATTGTCAGGTTTCATGTAGTTTGTAAGTATTATAATGAGAATGTGTAACTCTTCAATGGACACATGTATGTATATTGTGTGTGATGAAGCCATGATCATTGAATGAAATGAGAAAAGCAACAACTTAAGAATGAAAGTTTTGAGGGCAAAATTATAGATATGTATGCAATTGGATGATTTGTTATTAGGAAGGCCAGCAACTGTGTCTTCTTAATAACCCTCCAGAAGATAAGAAATAATGCTTTTAACAATAATCACAAATAATAAAAGAGCAGTCTCCTACAGTAGGAGGTCATGGTATCCACCCTTCAGATGGTCCAGAAATCTTACTAGGTGATGGTTTGCTCTGTGAGAGCATGGAGGTGCCACGTATAACTTAGGTAGCTCTGTTTTGCTGAAATATTGAAAACAGCACATTTTAAATCACGTGCAAAGAAAAATGTTTTCAACATATCACAAGAATCTCTAGTCCGTTAATCTGCATGCAGCACGGTGTGAATTCATAGCATCAGACTAAGTAAGCTACTGTCTTTTAGGTTTAAACTGATTTTTTCGTATGCAGTTCTGTGATGCTGAGGCTGTGGAGACAAACTTCTGCTTCCCGAGTGGCTTCCTGGGAGGTTCTGCAGTGGGAGTCCCAGAGGGAGTCTGTGAAGCCAGGGGAGGAAGAAGGGGCCTGCTTCTGCCTGTTGGGAGTAGGCAGGCCCCCTCTTTGCTCTGTATTTCTGTGTGGGGCATGCCAGAACTTCTTCTTGGAAGAGTAGCAGCAATTGATTCTAGTTTTTTTGTTTTTTCAAGACTCATAAAACCAGCCTCATTATGCCCATTCAGAGGACACAAGCCTCAGTTGGACAGCGCCCCCTCTTCAGATAAGAGGAGGCCCCCGCTTCTAAGCTCAGAAACTTCAGCATCATCCATCCAAAAACAAAACAAACAAAAAAAAAGCAAAGAAAGAAAATGCCCTCAGACAGAGATCTGAGTTCCAACTCAGCAGGATACCTGCGCCAAGCCTTTAAATTTTAATAATTCCAACCTCTTCCCTTTGTTCCCAGAGCCGAGGGGTGTAGCTGCTTTCTTCCTGTGATGTTGCAATGTTGTTTTGCCTTTTTAGTTCAATACCTAGTTAATAATTCTTTATATTAAATTCTCCCTGTTAAGATAACTATCGTAGATTCTGTTTCCTCACTGATCCAGAGTCCTAAAGGATAACCGGGTTTCCCAAACAAGCATAGTTCAAGCCAATGTTTAAAGGTGGGAAAGAAGTTAATATGCACAACTAAGACTTTTTGTGGGGTTCAGGATAATTTTTTTCTGATTTGACCATACCACCTTCCAATTGCAAGGGCTTTTCAGTCTTTTCACATAAGACACATGAGAAAAATGATAATATTTATACAGCACATTGGCCTAAATGGATAAAGTTGCTTTTATCCACGGGCCAGCATAGCCCTCATGAAAAAGAAAAAGACCACCCAAAGCCCTAAGCCACCCAACTTGAGGTGTAGTGTTATACTTTGTTACAGCAATCCTAGGAAACTAATACAGTTATAATAAACCAGCAACCACAAGAAGAAACCCAGAAAACAAATGTTGAGGAGGCTATAGAGAAATTAAAACCCTTGCACATTGCTAGTAGGAATCTAAAACGGTGCAATTGCTGTGGAAAATAGTATTTCCTCAGTACCCATAAAATTACCATACAATAAAGCAGCTCAACCAGCAATTTCAACCTAACTTAAATAGGTACCTACCCCAAAAGAACTGAAAACAGATATTCCAACAAAAGCCTGTTTGTGAATGTTCATAGACCCATGATTTGCAGTTGGCAAAGGGTGGAAAGAACCCCTATGCATTGATGAATGTCTAAACAAAACGTGGCTTATCCATGCGATGCCCATTGTGTGCACAGTATTCAGCCATGACGAGGAAACAAGATCTGATTGTGCCCTGAAATGCAGATGAACCTTAAAATATTATGTTGAGGGAAAGGAGGTGGACGGAAGAGGTCATGTACATGTATCATATGATTCCTTTTCCTTTTTTTAAAGGGGGCTCATTTATTGTTACTGTTCCAAATGTACCAAAAAATGAGAAAATAACCCCCCAACTCCCCCCCCCAAAAATTTCCCCCAACACAGATAATTTCCCCCAAACCCACAAACATAAATTGGTTCTGGTATTTTCATAAACAGTGCAGCTAAGAAATAGTTTAGAGAAAAACTGAACAGAATTCAGATTATACCCA